ACTGTGAGAGGAGGGTTATGAAAATATGCAATCATAATTGACCAAATATGTGGACTAATATACTATGCCTCTACCTTTGATACACCTTTGAAGAGTTTCGAGTTTCACTACTCTCCCCTTAAATCAGGGATAAGCACAGACAGCACTACTGACCACTACTCCACCTTCCTCTTAACAAACATTAATAAACAACCAGTGGAATACAACAAGGTCTCTTTTAGACTCCATAATGAGGCATCAATAAATAACTTCAAAACAGAGCTAGGTACAGTTGACTGGCCTACAGAATTCTCCAGTGCCAATGGTATTGATGATTGGATAGACATATTTCTTTACAAATTACTTAGATTATATAACAAACACTGTCCCATAAAAACGAAACAGATTACGAATAAATGGCTAGCTTGCCCACAGCTAACTAACAGCATATTAAGATCCATTGATAAGAAACATCAATATGAAAAGCAATACAGACAGGGATTAATAAACAAAGATATTATTAAACACTACACATCAGTCTAAGCAATTGTACTACTCTAATAGATTCACCAAAACAAGGGGAGATATTAAAAAGACCTGGAAGACACACACTCAGATTCTGGGCACCCACAAACTGAAAAAACTAGGGATACTGTCTTAACTAAACTTAATGAAACACAACTACAGCCTATTGATACATTTAACAAGATAAATGACTTTTTCTCAACCATAGGATCAAATCTCGCAAGTAAAATCCCAGGTACCAATGCCCGAGTAAGTGATTACTCAGATGGGAATTTCCCAACCTCCTTCTATCCTGCACCAAATGAGCCCACAGAAGTCGCCACAATTATTAAGTCGCTTAAAAATAAATCAGGAAATCTGGCTCAAGTCCCGCCGTTATTGTACAGACAAGCAGCTCATGTTCTTTCACCCACTATTTCATTACTCTTTAACAAATCACTAGAAACCAGCACTTCCTGACACTACTCAAGATAGCAAGAATTACATCAATACACAAAGGTGGTGACCCCACAGATGCAAACAACCACAGGCCAATATCGAACTTACCATTGCTATCCAAAATCTTTGAGAAACTTGTGCACAAGAGATTATACTCCTTTAAACAGCACAAAACATTTTCAACTCCTGCCAATTTGACTTCAGGAAAAGCAAAAGCACAAACGACGCAATTGTAAAAATGCTAGACCTGCTTTACACAGTAGTACTTGGAAAAAATTAATATCCATTAGGACTCTCGGCATAAGGAAAGCTTTTGATACAGTAGACCACAGCATCCTACTCCACAAACTTGATCATTAGGGTATAAGAGGCCATGCACTTACATATTTCAAATCCTACCTTACTAACAGACATCAATACATCTCTAGTAAGGAGACAACCTCATCAACAAGACCACTGGATACTGGAGTACCATAGAGAAGTGTCGTTGGTCCCCTGCTCTTCCTCTTATACGTCAATGATCTTCTTAATGTATCACAACACCTTAAACCTATTCTCTATGCTGACGACATGACTTATGTCATCTCCCACCCTAATCTTGCCTCACTCAACACCATTGTTAACGAAGAACTAGTAAAAATATCGACCTGGATGACTGCCAATAAATTTATACTTAATATTGACAAAACCTACATTATGTTTGGGAGTAGAACAGGTGATGCCCAGCTGAGGATAAATTCCTGAGTCTGCACCTTGCCAGCAACCTGAAATTCAACACATAACAAAAAAAGTATCCAAAACAGTTGGGATCCTCTCCAAGATATGTTACTATGTACCACAATCAGCCCTACTCACCCTATACTATTCACTCATCTATCCCTACCTCACCTATGCTATTTGTGCCTGGGGATCAACAGCAGCAACCCACCTAAAGCCAATAATAACCTAAGAAAAAGCTGCAGTAAGAGATATCACACAATCCAATGCTAGACAACACCCTCCCCCACCCCTCATCTCTTCAAAGACCTAAACTTACTCACTGTACAAAACATTCACACCTACTACTGTGCAAACTACATTTACAGCACCATAAATTCTAATATTAACAATGAACTAAAACACCTTAATAGTTACAACAGGACCCACAGACAGACACAATACTAGACACAAAAATCTCTATGACATTCCTCATGTCTGGCTAAATCTCCACAAAAACTCAATGTACATAAAAGAGCCTAAAATCTGGAACTCCCTGCCTGAAAACTCTAGAACCGCAGACTCGACCACCATTTTCAAAACTACTGTTAAAAAACATCTTATCTCCCTAACACACCTCATCATCAGCTAACTATGTGAAAAACCACCTATTCTCCTTTTAGTACAGTATCATGAAAACATCCAAAACAAAATAGACTTACTCTCGTTATCTGTAATTCTCCCTAATTTACACTTACACTCACCCAAATGACTGTAAACATAAAATTCCTAATATAGCTATTGTCTAATAAATCTTAAGTTAGTCCTAAGTTTCCCTGAAATACTCTCCCAACACAGGAGCTTTTATAGAAACATCATATTGTGCTGAGATAAAACCATTCCCACTACTAAATTTACTAATTGTAATATTGTTATATGTTTTGTACTACCTCACTTATTATCAATCTAATTAATGTTAATCACTTCAGTTACCTAACTTTTATATCAGTATGCAATAATATACGTATATTATAGTGTACTGCTCATTAACCTGTGTCAATACGTATAGAGTAAAAATTAGGATTAGTCTGCCCGAAATGCCTAGGCATGCTAGTGGCCTTCTTTGTAATTGATATTTTATAATATGTAAACTACACATTGTAAGCTTTGCAAGGAGATAAACCTTTTCATTTTCATGCATGAAGACATAAATGAACCATTAGAAGATAATGACAAGGAAAAAACTGCAAAAGAAATGCTAGAGAAGCTCAAATCCCTCAACCCTCTTCACATACTTCTATGTCAACAAGCAACCAAATTAGAGTTGTAAAGAACATAACCCTACTTTTCCTACATGCTCTTTCACTTCATGTAATGTGATTCTATGCTAATTATGTTCCTGAAAAATCAATTCTTATCACATTAAAATTGAGGGTTTTGTTTTATCAGCATTTGCATGTAAACAAAAAATCATTATCTGGCATTTATCTCAACCAATGCTGGCTGAGTTGATTAAAAAGTCTAATAGAGTATATTTGCTAATACATTATGGTAAACTTAGGATCTAAGAACATGTAATAGTCGCACATCACCTGAGTTCTACACTGGCATCATACAAATGTAGTAATCTCAAATATGCCCAGTAATACTTGACATTACTTATACTGTACATGTGCAAATTTTACCATAGACTGGGCAACTGATTTTTGCAAGAAAAATTATGGGTATAATGTTTATTAAACATAACTAACAGTTCACATTTTAAAATTGAAATTCAACCAGCCATATTATAAACAACAATTATAGGGTTACAGTGCTACACCTGCAAGATCAGTGGTACCAGCAGGAATATTAATAACAACAGCTACAGCATGAGTAGGAACAGCATTACACTAGCACCTATAGCACCAGAAGGACAACTGCTACAGTACCAGTAGAACAATATTAATTCCAGCAAGAAAATTATTATTACATTCAGAGGGAAGTACTAAACCCATAAGGATCATACAGTACCTGAAGAATGGGAGCCAATCAGGATAGATTAAAGGAAGAGAAGAGTGCAGTAGTTTCAATTCATTGGATTAAGAGTCTTTCACTGGCTTCAAGGCATCCCATTGGAAGGGACCAGTAAAAACTACACCAGAAGTGGCTTCATCAACACCAGCAAGTACAGTGGACCCCCGGTTAACGATATTTTTTCACTCCAGAAGTATGTTCAGGTGCCAGTACTGACCGAATTTGTTCCCATAAGAAATATTGTGAAGCAGATTAGTCCATTTCAGACCCCCAAACATACACGTACAAACGCACTTACATAAATACACTTACATAATTGGTCGCATTCGGAGGTAATCGTTATGCGGGGGTCCACTGTACACTGTAAAGTGTACTAAGAAGTGAAGTGGAAAAAGGAAATGGAAGGCAAACCAGATTGTGGAAGTAACAATTTAAACTGCCAAGAGGCAAAATTACACATAAGAAATATGGAATCAATAAAATGAGAGACAAAAGGGAATGAATTAGCAATGAATGTGTAAGAATAAAGTAAACTGACTGGCAATTTAATAACATAACATCAAAGGCCAAAGCTGACTTAAGTTACTACACAGCCAAATAAAAGATGACAGTAAAGATTATTATAAACAAAAAGAAGTGCTAAACCTTCAAGGATCATACAGCTATGACTGTAAAGAACCAAGTAGGAAAGCTGAAGAAGGAAGGAAGGAAGGAAGGAAGGACTTTGTCTGAGGATGACAGAGAAGTATAATAGAGCTTAGCTTAGATCAGGGGAGTTAGAACAGACCAACTGGACCTACAAAACTACACAATAAAAACTGAGATGAAACCACAAAAGTAGTTTGATAAAACAAAAACAATGGGACCAGACAACATATCCTCATGGGCACTGATAAAAGCAGATCCACTGTACAACCCATCAGTGAAAGTCTTCAATCTCTCCAGATCTGGCAGCTGCCAGAAAACTCAAAATGCAAATATTCTTCTCATATATATAAGGGAGACACACTTGAAGCACTGAATCGTAGGCCAATAATTTTTACATAGATATTATGAAAAGTTTTGGAGAGGAGTGAAAGGAAATAGTACCAAAACATTATTATTATAATAAGAAGAAACACTAAACTTACTAGGGTCATACAGAGGTACCAAAACAAATTGACCATTCTGGTAAAGAACACCTGATGGGAGGTTCCTTGATGCCCATCAGATCCAAGTAATTGGACCTGGCCTCTCTTTCCATGGATCAAACCTGATAGCCTTCCACCCCCATTGGCACTGCACGATCTTTATGGGTTTAGCACTCCCCCATAAATGTAATAATGCATGGAACAGAAATTATGATATACCTTTGATAATTTCTTTATTACATTAATTTTATTCATACACAAGATAAGATAAAAATCAAGATTATAACATTCTGTTTATATAAAGGTAAAAGATTTATAATACTGTAGTTTTGAAGATAAACCAAGCTCTTCCCTAACAAGTGAGGTGTTCCCTTCAAACTTTATCTCTAGGCTAAAAGAAAAAGAAGAATGATTAGAGGTCAATGTGTCCCCAGGCACCATTCTTTAGTCGGCCATCCACTTTCAGCTTGCTAGTAGTGACCACCACCTTGCTCCAGCAGCCTTTCTGCACTGAGTAGATGCTGTTGTCACTAATGTTCAGTGCTGACATCTGTGGAAATGGATGTTAAAATACTGTCAAGTTTTAAGCAGAGGATGTAATTCTCTCGTGCTTGATGCTACAGAATGCCAGCTAGACTCGGAAACAACTTCAAGAAATGAGATGGTCTTCTTACACTCAATCAACATTAAACACAACTCCTGCATCTACTATCTCAATTAATTGCCCTTTCACTTTTTTTCGTGTGAAATGCACAACTATATGCATATGCTAAACAACTTGGCAACTACAGGAGCCTACACAGCACTACAGAGAGACTGAGACGGGGAAAGCTTACATCTGGGAAGATGCCGAAGTCAAGGACAGAGCCATCAGCACCTGTGTCGTGGTCCGTGTTAGGGAAGACACAAAGGCTCTCACCCAAAAAGTTCTCGCGACTGTCAGAGAAACAGAGATACAAGTTAGAGTATTTTCAAGATAAGATACATATTCATACAGTAATTCAACAAATTACAGTACTATATGAATATGTCTGAAGATGATGCAATAAATTGAGCAAATGGTGTAGTAAAGAAAATTTTCATGAAAAATTCATGCGTTACATTACATCTAAACTTGACACTACTCCCATTCATTAATACCACTAAGGACTAGTAACATCATGCCCAATTTCTCATAATTTGCCATGCTAGATATGAATAGGGACATTACTATTTCCAGTAAAGGAATCTGGAGAGGTACAATATATGGAAGTTGATAAACAATCTCATCACAGCCAAATCTGAAGAGGAAGAGGGTCTTCCAGTGGTTATACTATGTAAATAAAAAATTATGAAGCTGACACAAGGAATACTATTATAGGGATTAAAATGTTATTGACTGGTGGTATACCTTAAATGACCAATACGCAGTCAATAAGATTTAAACTCAGTAAACCAACCAGCCAACAAGAGTGAAATTTACATTAGGTAACAGTTAAGTTTTTGGTAATGTTAGTCTCAAACCACTGGGTCCAGCACAGCTCAGCCATGTCTACAACAGTGGCAATGGCTACACCACCTTCATGTGTCCTTAGATGTGTTCTACATTCTACAATAGTGCCAACAGCACTATTATGAATTATGATGAAAGGCTGAAAGCACTAAAGATACCCACTCTGGCTGATAAGAGGAAATATGAGAACCATATACAGCAACATAAAAGGACATGAGACTAAATAATGATGATGTTTTGTACAGTACCAGCAACAAGGATAGGAAGAGGTCACAGTTATAAACTGACTAAAAAGTGAAGCTGAAGGGATACTAGGAAATTTTGCTCACAGAATGGTAAATTATTGGAATGAATTACAAGAGAATGCAGTAAATGCTACAATCACTGTTAGGTTAAAAAAATGACATGATGAAATTATGGAAGACAGGACTCCACGAGCATAACTCTGCTCCTGTACCTAGGTAATTACTGTAAGACCTCCACAGGCACCACTTAAGAACTACACCAGATAATTTTTTCCTGATGAATAAACTAACATGTTCAAGTCACCTGTAGATGGTCCAGGGGCTGACACCAGTGAGGATGAGGGAGGAGACCTTTCCTGCCAGGTTCTCAAAGGTGGCACTATCATAGTTACCATAGTACTCGCTCCCTGAGAAGGCTGTCCCCTCATACACGGTCCAAGAGTCCTCATTTACGTAGTAGGGGCTCCCGGCAAAGCGCAGGGATGAGCACTGGAAAGAGAGAGAGATACAAGTGGAGCCTTATACTTGTGATGGTGAGATTGGCTCACAATCAAAAGGACCTCAATTTAATCCTGAGAAGGGCGAGATATGGGCAAGTCTCCTAACACCTACTGCCCCTATTCACCTAGCAGTAAATACAAATTTTAGGAGTTTGTCTGAAGTTGTGGGTTGCATTCTAGGAAAGGACCATAGGATCCTGATGGAAATAAGCCACATTGTTTTTTTTATCTAACTGCACAATTGCTTCTCACCAATTCATTGGCTTATTCATTACTCTGGCTTCTTACTTCGCACTCCAATGTCATTCTAAAGTATTTCATCATTCTAACTCACTTGTTAATACAACTATTTTCTAATAATTCTCATCCATTCTGCTGTTGGTTTTCATCATGTTCTTTCTCCCTATTCTGACTCCATCACTAGTCTCTAATCCAACCTCATTCTCTTCCTCTCATGTCATCACTGTTCCACATTCTCTATCATTTTAAATGACCTTTGCATAACTTTCACTCCATCAGCATCTCTTATTCTCCCCATCATTGCATCATTGTAACTTACCATATCTATGTAGTCGCTGGGAAAATTGACAGCGATGTCAATGCCATGAACCCAGTATACCCTGCCTGACTGCAGGTTGTAGTCGGTGTTCTCGTAATACATCCACCTGATAGTTTTAGCCATTAGTAAGGTAGGTTTATTAGTTAAGCACAACTGTGTGAGCAATGCGAGATTACCCCATTCAATATGAGTTACAGATGGTGTGAATGACTGCAGTGTGTGACTACCATACTCTATACAAGTACGTATTATTTGTTGGGAACACCCATAATGCTGGTTATGTTGATCTATACGAGTTATTTGGAGTAATACCTGCAGTGTGCAGCCACCCTATTCTATAAAATATTTTAGTTTCATAGTGGGAACAAAACTTAACTATGTTTCCATGTCATATTCCATCACACAGGATGGATTTTTGTTTACAAGTAATGAAATTTGTCAGTTTAATTAAGCCAGGAGATTTCAGTAGGGCAATAAAGACATCATCAAGTATTACACTTTGGGTTCAGCAGCTACAGCAATTTCTTTTTCCAAGAGAACCAGAGTTACTATTACAGTACTTGGGAACTGCCATCTGTAGGGTTAGTGTGTATCTGAGTGGAGAGAACTTTGTGCCAGCACTTAGTATGGTCCAATAGATTATGCTGAATGCTGTGTAAAAGGTATGGAAGGCTATTCTTAAGTGTGCAAAAGAAATGAACAAAAAAAAAAATGAAGAGTGGAGGGCAGCCCCTTTGATAACAAAACTAGGTAACTATGAACAAATAATGATGAAGATTACAATGATTGAAAGGATGAAAAAATTGAAATATGAAGACTAATTGCTATATATCTATTCCTCCTTTCCCATAATGAGAAGGCGGCCCAGCAAAACAAAAAACAAACAACTTTATAGAGTGGAGTACAGTATACAGTTGACATCTGGGTAAATGACATAAATAAACCACCTTACAGAAAGCCTTCTGTTATGAAGAGCATTTTGGGTAGCCTTAAAATAACTTATAATTACCAGACAATGAGATAAAAGTTTATTAGAATGCTAATGTTTGTCATATTTGACATTTAAATACTGTAATAATTTGGTGAATGACATCTTGAGATTAATATAAGTATACTAAAACAGACTGGTGAGTGTGAACATCAGTAGGAATGTACTATTTGCAAAGACATAAATAAATAAATTTGGATTAAAAGGACTGCAAATGATACATCAGGCTTAAAGATAAGAATTGTTTGGATGTTTAATTAACCAGAAGTGTTAGTCACCCTGGATAACCCAATAAAGTCAGTGCGTCATCAAATTCCTTTAATCTTGTCCACCAGGTGCAACTTGCAACAGTTGCCTAACACCCAGGTACCTATTTACTGCTAGGTGAACAGGGGCAGCAGGTGCAAGGAAACACCCAACGTTTCCACCCATGCCGGGGACTCTACCACGGACACTCGCTATGCAAGGCAAGTGCGCTATCAACCAAGCCACGGAAGATTGTCCAAGTAGGATTTAAACATTTAAGAGGTGCTTGTGACAAGTTTTGAAACAGGAGGCTAAAATGAAAAATTTCTGCATCATATGGAAAGCAGTTCAAGATTTCAAGCCTTTTATCAGAATGGAGTTTCTGAAGAGGTAGCGTCAAACATACAGTTTATTAAAGAAATTCTTATTTTGTATTGTCTGTGTTCTGTGTCAGCTCCCCAGGGGTAATATGACATACTAGAGCTGCTAACAAGATGGGAATCTGCTATTACTAAATATTGCTCCTCGGCAAACTATGGCATTATTGTTTTTTATTTTCCATAAGTTACATCTGTCTAAACCACTTAATATATTTTTTTACTTGTGCAAATTGTTATCTTGGGAGATATTTGCCCTGATGCTGAAATGTAGCGTCATGGCAAACCGTAATGGATTATTATTATTATTATAATCAAGAGGGAAGCGCTAAACCCGGAGGATTATACAGCGCCTGGGAGGGGGGATGTGGAAGGCATTCAGGCTTAATTCGGGGAACTGGAGCACATCCAATTCCCTAAATCAAGAGCCCCTCACCAACATCAAGGAACCTTCCTTGAGGGGTAACCGTAATGGAGCATGTTAGTAAATAACAAAAAGGCACAATACCGTGACTGGAACGATACACAAATAACCCGCACATAAAAGAGAGAAGCTTACGACGACGTTTCGGTCCGACTTGGACCATTGACAAAGTCACACTGTGTGCGTGACTTTGTCAATGGTCCAAGTCGGACCGAAACGTCGTCGTAAGCTTCTCTCTTTTATGTGCGGGTTATTTGTGTATGGATCATGTTAGATTTTGTTGTATAATAATAGATTTTTATTTCTACAAGTACATGTTTATGTTGGGTTATGAGTAATAGTATATAACTGCTCTCTGGAAAATTAAATTTACCTGGATGTAACTCATAAGATACATACCAGTAAATGGTAACAAAGATAATTATTTATTTTTTATCAAAGTTACAGAGACAAGTAGGAATTTTAGGACACCTAGGTCACAAAAAATGTCCCCCTTCGATGCCTACTACTGTCATATCCGGTGGCTAAAGCTCCCGCTTCACACACGGAGGGCCCGGGTTCGATTCCCGGCGAGTGGAAACATTTCGACATGTTTCCTTACACCTGTTGTCCTGTTCACCTAGCAGCAAATAGGTACCTGGGTGTGATGAATGGTTTGAAAAACCGACAAGTTGAAGATTGAGACACTTATGCAGCATATGGGAATCTTTATTCAGGAAACGTTTCGCCACACAGTGGCTTCAACAGTCCAATACAAAGAGGAAGGCGTAAGGAGAGGAGGAGTATGAGGTAATCAGTCCCTCAGCCTGGAGTCGATGTGTTCAGTCCATCAATCTTGTAGATTGATGGACTGAACACATCGACTCCAGGCTGAGGGACTGATTACCTCATACTCCTCTCCTTATGCCTTCCTCTCTGTATTGGACTGATGAAGCCACTGTGTGGCGAAACGTTTCCTGAATAAAGATTCCCATATGCTGCATAAGTGTCTCAATCTTCAACAGGTACCTGGGTGTTAGTCGACTGGTGTGGGTCGCATCCTGGGGGACAAGATTGAGGACCCCAATGGAAATAAGTTAGAGTCATCGATGACGCACTGACTTTCTTGGGTTATCCTGGGTGGCTAACCCTCCGGGGTTAAAAATCCAAACGAAATCTTATCTTATTACCAGGAATTATGATTACCTGGAGTTTACCTGGAGAGAGTTCCGGGGGTCAACGCCCCCGCGGCCCGGTCTGTGACCAGGCCTCCTGGTGGATCAGAGCCTGATCAACCAGGCTGTTGCTGCTGGCTGCAAGCAAACCAACGTACGAGCCACAGCCCGGCTGGTCAGGAACCGACTTTAGGTGCTTGTCCAGTGCCAGCTTGAAGACTGCCAGGGGTCTGTTGGTAATCCCCCTTATGTACGCTGGGAGGCAGTTGAACAGTCTCGGGCCCCTGACACTTATTGTATGGTCTCTTAACGTGCTAGTGACACCCCTGCTTTTCATTGGGGGATGTTGCATCGTCTGCCAAGTCTTTTGCTTTCGTAGTGAGTGATTTTCGTGTGCAAGTTCGGTACTAGTCCCTCTAGGATTTTCCAGGTGTATATAACCATGTATCTCTTTCCCCCCTGCGTTTCAGGGAATACAGGTTCAGGAACCTCAAGCGCTCCCAGTAATTGAGGTGTTTTATCTCCGTTATGCGTGCCATGAAGGTTCTCTGTACATTTTCTAGGTCAGCAATTTCACCTGCCTTGAAAGGTGCTGTTAGTGTGCAGCAATATTCCAGCCTAGATAGAACAAGTGACCTGAAGAGTGTCATCATGGGCTTGGCCTCCCTAGTTTGAAGGTTCTCATTATCCATCCTGTCATTTTTCTAGCAGATGCGATTGATACAATGTTATGGTCCTTGAAGGTGAGATCCTCCGACATGATCACTCCCAGGTCTTTGACGTTGGTGTTTCGCTCTATTTTGTGGCCAGAATTTGTTTTGTACTCTGATGAAGATTTAATTTCCTCGTGTTTACCATATCTGAGTAATTGAAATTTCTCATCGTTGAACTTCATATTGTTTTCTGCAGCCCACTGAAAGATTTGGTTGATGTCCGCCTTGGAGCCTTGCAGTGTCTGCAATGGAAGACACTGTCATGCAGATTCGGGTATCATCTGCAAAGGAAGACACGGTGCTGTGGCTGACATCCTTGTCTATGTCGGATATGAGGATGAGAACAAGATGGGAGCGGTACTGTGCCTTGTGGAACAGAGCTTTTCACCGTAGCTTGCCTCGGACTTTACTCTGTTGACGACTACTCTCTGTGTTCTGTTAGTGAGGAAATTATAGATCCATCGACCGACTTTTCCTGTTTATTCCTTTAGCACGCATTTTGTGCGCTATTACGCCATGGTCACACTTGTCGAAGGCTTTTGCAAAGTCTGTATATATTACATCTGCATTCTTTTTATCTTCTAGTGCATTTAGGACCTTGTCGTAGTGATCCAATAGTTGAGACAGACAGGAGCGACCTGTTCTAAACACATGTTGCCCTGGGTTGTGTAACTGATGGGTTTCTAGATGGGTGGTGATCTTGCTTCTTAGGACCCTTTCAAAGATTTTTATGATATGGGATGTTAGTGCTATTGGTCTGTAGTTCTTTGCTGTTGCTTTACTGCCCCCTTTGTGGAGTGGGGCTATGTCTGTTTTTAGTAACTGTGGGACGACCCCCGTGTCCATGCTCCCTCTCCATATACACATTTATGTAACAGAAGAATTGATCTTAATAGCACTCACCAATTAGTCTGGAGATTACTGTGTGTCATGTACAGAACCCCCTGCCTAAAATATGGAGAAAATACTGGCCAGAATTTCAACATAAATATATAGACATGACTTAAATAAATAAATAAATATCCTGTTTCACCTAATTACGGAGGAGTCACTTGTTCTATCTAGGCTGGAATATTGCTGCACACTAACAGCACCTTTCAAGGCAGGTGAAATTGCCGACCTAGAAAATGTACAGAGAACTTTCACGGCGCGCATAACGGAGATAAAACACCTCAATTATTGGGAGCGCTTGAGGTTCCTAAACCTGTATTCCCTGGAATGCAGGAGGGAGAGATACATGATTATATACACCTGGAAAATCCTAGAGGGACTAGTACCGAACTTGCACACGAAAATCACTCACTACGAAAGCAAAAGACTTGGCAGACGATGCACCATCCCCCCAATGAAAAGCAGGAGTGTCACTAGCACGTTAAGAGACCATACAATAAGTGTCAGGGGCCCGAGACTGTTCAACTGCCTCCCAGCACACATAAGGGGGATTACCAACAGACCCCTGGCAGTCTTCAAGCTGGCACTGGACAAGCACCTAAAGTCAGTTCCGGATCAGCCGGGCTGTGGCTCGTACGTTGGTTTGCGTGCAGCCAGCAGCAACAGCCTGGTTGATCAGGCTCTGATCCACCATGAGGCCTGGTCACAGACCGGGCCGCGGGGGCGTTGACCCCCGGAACTCTCTCCAGGTAAACTCCAGGTAAACTCCAGGAGTCCTGTCCAGTCGCCTGATTTCTCACGTCATGCAGGACTGCAATTCCAACAATTTCGGCTCCTATTTGAGAGGTTTTAAGCCCAATATAACCTCTAGAGTGACGAAAATTTATGCACATTTCATTAGCATACCTTCACCACATTCAAACACAATGGCGACTCCCTCCCAGCAACGCTCACCCATCACTGGTTCTTTATTTACAAATTAATTTTTATTACCTACAATATAGGCCATCAATTTACATATAAAATACTGTATTTCCGGAAAACATATACAGTATTTTCCATATGCTCCTTACTGGATTTTGACTATTAATTATAGTTTAAATTGTACAATATGGTTTGTTTCACAGCTGAGATATTATTTTGCTGTGCAAATGTGAAATAAGTAAAGTAACCTAACTTAACCTTACTCCGCCATCGGTATAGCGCGTTTACACTCACTCATATTAGTCGTTGATTGGTCGAGATGACCTGCACCACCAAAAGGTTCTATTTTTGCTAATATCTCAAAAAATAATTTACACAGATATTTATTCCATGCTGTGAACAAGTTGTGTATTGTATTATTATTAAAATCAAAACTAGGCGCTAAACCCACATGGGTGTGGAAATTTATTTGGTCCCTAAAGTTCCACAAGACAGACACGGCGAACCAAGGGATCCCAGCAAGGCCGTAATGGAAGGGCTGAGCTGGGTGGCCCTTAAACCCACCCAAACAAAAAGCGTTCTCCCTGAACATAAACACATTTCTCTCCCCGAGTTGGCGTGGATGAAGGTACTATTTAAGTTATAGATTTACCCTTCAGGGAAGGAGTAGGTAGTTTTACTGGAAGTACACTAATATTAGGATCATTGAGGCAACTGTAGATAATAATAATGTAGACCTAAGACCTTAACATAGGTAGTAATAGGCCGATAATGTAGGCAAACACTAGGTTAAGTTAGCTAGGGAGAACTGGCAGCCCTAGCTTGAATGACGAGGCGCGGGTCTCAAAGACACAATAGCATCCTTCTTAAGACAGACACCAACTGGACAAGACGTGCCGTGATCAGCAGACGGCGCCCCCCACGTGTCTTCACATTTGAGACCTGGGGAAATCTGGTAGAGGCACCTCGATGTACTGTAGATGACCTCCTCCGTCAGGCCCATACAGTAAGACAAGACCTCCACTTTATCTCGTAGATTTCTGGCCAGTGTCTGGGGAGAATTGTGAGTGAGTTTGATCTGTGGGTCCGGTGTGCAGCAGGCAGTGCATGCCCAGTAAGTACCAGTGTCTCTTGGCAGTCTGGAAGCTAGTGTCCGTGTCTGCATAGTTATACTAGGGGATACATACCCTCTTGGATATAGAAATTTCTGAGGTGCAGGCAGGTCACTAATAACGATTGAATATTGCAGGAATTAAGGCTCCCAGTTGCACGTGGTTTCTGAGGGGAAGTCCAAAGGGGCTAAGGCTAAGCTTAGGGAAGTTGAAGATCAGGATATATGCTGCAACACCAAGTAAGTTAGTCCTTTATACGTGCATGCAGGCGAGTTTCTTGCAACATCAGTCATTTGTGAAAATCTGTCCTATAAGCCACTTGTGAGGCTGAGGTACCCACCTCAGAGCTCGGTGTCAACAGAGTTTGCCAGGGTAGGCGACTCACTTTGGAGGCAGTCCACACAAATTTTCACAATGGGTTCAGCGCCACAAGATTACGTATTGTAAAATGTAAACTAATGCAAAAGTTCTGCTGAGTAGCAATCAGTTAGTACAGCTAAATTAGTAATTACATGTGGAAAAAGACACTTAAAGGACATAAAAACCGAGCCACGGTGTGGGTGGGATAGAACCCATGGCAGGTGAGACACTTAAGTGTCTTTTTCTACATCTTGCCAGTATCACCATGCCATATTTAGTACTTACATGCCAGTCTGTTGAACACTCTCAATAACATTATCAAAGTTAGCAGCAAGCAGGTCAGGTACATAGTCAGTGACGTCAAGATAGTCGCCCTGGCCATCTGGACCACTGAATACCCGAGTGGTCCATTCACCAGCACTCACACCTGTCCAGACAGAATAAGCTTTATTTTGAAATGTATATGATTATTATTTCAGTTATCATCAATCCAGTAATTTTATAGGTACAACCTTGAGATACAAAACGTACCGATGGTGTTTAGTAGCTCAAGTGTTAAGGGATTTTAATCTATGAAAGACGTGGCTTTATTTTTGTGCTTAACATTATTTTATTGCACGTAAACTACATTTTGTGTACCACAGAAAAGAAATCAAGTTGTATTGTATTGTATTCGGATTTGATTCCCAGGAGGAAACTTAGAGTATGAGCAAGTTTCCTTACACCTGGCTGGAGAACAGGTGTGGTGATACTAACAGTTATCACCATACCTGTATCACCATACCTGTATCACCATACCTGTATCACCATACACCAGTATCACCATACACCATAGTATATCACCACACATTTATTCACAGTTCAAGGCATCTGCTGAACCGTGCTTACACCTGCTGCACCTGTCCACTGAACAGTAAATAGGTATCTGGGCGTTTTAATATATATATATATATATATATATATATATATATATATATATATATATATATATATATATATATATATATATATATATATATATATATATATATATATATATATATATATATATATATATATGGTTATAATTATAACCTTGATTTTTAAAGGGGTGGACCGGTAAGCCAGCGGAAGGCCTCGGTCAGATGACGGAAAGCTCCAGCGGCGGGTCACCATGTGACTAAGACCCCATCAGGAAACACCTTTCCTGTTTCCTGAAAAATCTAACCTAGCAACAATTATGCGTCACATCCTAGCGAGAAACTCCAATTAAAATAAGCGATATAGCTTCAATTTACTTGGTTTTGATGGGTTACAGGAACCTTAATGGAAATAAGTCACTTTATCTTACTTGTTTGTGGGGTATTGTGGGTTTTGCGCTTAGTTATGATGATGATGATAATAATAATAATATCCTAGGTAATTTATGCGTATATTACTTTGTTTGATAATTGTAATCATCTAAATTTGTAAACCTGTACCTAAGTAAACTTATTTATCCTTGGTTAATAATCATCAAGATTTAAATAAGCCAAATTATTACTATTCATATGGAAGTACTAATCCTATACCTGGAGGATGTTTCGGGGGTCAGCGCCCCCGCGGCCCGGTCCATGACCAGGCCTCGTGGTAGATCATGGTCTGATCGATCAGGCTGTTACTGCTGGCCGCACACAAACCAACGTAAGAACCACAGCCCGGCTGGTCAGGTACTGACTTGAGGTGCCTATCTAGCTCCCTCTTGAAGACAGCCAGGGGTAAACGTATTGGTAATCCTTCTTATGTATGCTGGGAAGTTGAACAATCTTGGGCCCCTGACACTTATTGTGTTGTCTTAGCGTACTCATGGCGCCCCTGTTTTTCATTGGGGAGATGTTACACCACCTGTCGAATCTTGCTTTTGTAGTGATTTCCGTGTGCAGATTTGGGACTAGCCCCTCTAGAATTTTCCAAGTGTATATTATCAAGCATCTTTCTCATATTATTAGTATTACATTCATGTGACAGTGGTAAACCCACAGGAGTCATGCGGCGCCTGGGGAATGGATGACATTTAGACTCAGTTCAAGGAATTGGACCTGTGTTTCAATTCCTTGAACTGACATCAAGAGTCCTTCAGCAGCATCAAGGAACCTCCCTTAAAGGAAGTAGGAGTCAAAGAACATCTTAAGTAATCCTAAGTATGTCTTCTATTCTGTCTCAGAATTCTATCCTGTTACCCACTTTTCATAGATTGTTATTTATTACCTCCCTCGTTAACGTCAAATGTTTAATTGAAATTCAAGTGAATGGTTCGCAGGTTTCTACAGTATCTTGCACAAAAACAAAAAAAAAAAAACAGTGCGTGTAAACTTGGAAAAGTGTTTATGTCAATATGTATAATTCTGAGCTTATTTTAAGCCCTATATTAGGAATTCAATCATCCTTGACAGGTGGTGAACAGGTTATATGCAGCAAGGCAGCCTTAGATCCCCTGTATAGTCGATGGGCCTTGGGCATAATTGATCAAGGAGAAAATGCATATTATTGCATAGTATTTCGATAGTGCAAACTAGTGGCTTTCTTTTGTACTTAAGACGAGGGATAGTGCTGCTTCTGACGAATGGGAGGCAATCCGTTTTGATCCAAGGAAATGGATTGATGAACCTCCTTTGAAAGGACTACAAATTTTTTAGCAAAGAGCTGTTATAAAATGTATTAAATCAAGAGAATAACATGCCAGACAAGATAATAATTCATACCAGCAACAAGAAGAGGAAGGATTAGCAGCTTCATGCTGAACAAGTGTTGACTGGTGATTAGTGATGAGTGATGAATGAGACTCAGTTTATTCCAGAGAGGCTGGTGAGTGATGCTCTATATACCCGGCTGATGGTACTGCGCTAGCCAGACCAGGCTTATAAACTCACATGGAGACGCTGGGAAAACTTGTTGATAACATCACCTGTTCTCACCCTCCAATTGCCCCTCAATGGTGGTTCCTTGAAACCGGTGAGGGGCTCTTGATCCAAGGAATTGGATCCGCCCTTTGATCGAACCTAAAATACCTGCTTTCTGCAGGTGCTGTATGCCACCTATAGATTTAAGGTTCTCGGCATTATTATTATTATCAAAACTAAGCACTAAACCCACAAGGACTATATAGGTCGCTTCTCATTTAATTCATGTAAAACAAAGTTTGGAAATTCACATTATAGAGGACGGATGAGGCAAACTGTATTGATAAGAGAGCAAACTCCTCTCAAAGGTGATTTGATGCCGGTGAAGGGTTCTTGATCCAAGGAATTGGGTCCATCCTCCCCTTCCTTGGATCGAACATGATTGCCTTCTATTCCTCGGGCGTTATATGGCCCCTATGGATTTAGCTCTACTCTCATGAATGTGATAATGACTGGGTCGATGGTCTCACCAGGGTCACTGCCCTCTCCATTGTAAACGACGATTACTTCGTGAAAAAAAAAAATGAGATTCTTTAATATGGACAGAACGTTTATTTCGTAATATATGTAAAGTGCGCCATGTCCTCAGGAAATGCTTCAAGTGATAAAATATCACCATCAGTGTGATCAAACATTTGCTTCACCTTAATAAAAGGGAATACCAGAGGTGGAAATGGTAACCAGGTTGGTGATGACTGACAACAAACACACCTGACGTCTCACACACACGAAATAATTTTTTATCTTCGGAAGTCTGGGAAAGATTTTTTTTATGTTGTCTGGGCATGAAACGCATATCTGTCTAGGAAGAAAGTACGTCTTCATATATTAATCTTTCGGAAATATATATATATATATATATATATAATATATATATATATATATATATATATATATATATATATATATATATATATATATATATTATATATATATATCAATTCGCAAACAAGCGAAATTATTGACAAACACTGTCTCTACATCCATAGTAGGATTCGAACCTGCAAACTCTGTATCAGAGTCCATAGTACTTTACCACGGAGCCAGACCCGTGGTAAAGTACTGTGGTCTCTGATACAGAGTTTGCAGGTTCGAGTCCTGCTGTGGGCGTAGAGACAATGTAAATAATTTTGCCTTTTTGTGAATTTTTAAAGCATTTCAAATCTCTTTCGTTGTCCATTGCATGTGGCAGGATTTGATGAAATAGCTGAAAACAAGCCTGGTGCCCGGGGGTATGGGGAAACATCATCTAGCTTCGGCCAGGCACCCATACTTATCTGGGGCTGTGGCGTCGTAAGGGGGGGGGGCAGCAAAGGTGACACCATTTAGAGGGTGACACCATAGAGTCTCTAAAGAAGATGACATTAATGACTATTGTCACACCTTGCGTCATTATGTACTGGAGTGTGATCAAATTAATGAATTTAGAGACAACTCACTCAGAAATGTTCAAGAAATGGCAAAGTATTATCCACAGTGGTATATTACAGACCATTCTGGAGAAATACCCTGACTTCGCTAGCTGTAAATAATGCACTACCATGTGTGTGTGAGTGTGTGTGTGTGTGTGTGTATGTTTACCTGGAGAGAGTTCCGGGGATCAACACCCCCGCGGCCCGGTCTATGACCAGGCCTCCTGGTGGATCAGAGCCTGATCAACCAGGCTGTTACTGCTGGCTGCAGGCAATCCAACGTACGAGCCACAGCCCGGCTGGTCAGGTACCGACTTTAGGTGCTTGTCCAGTGCCAGCTTGAAGACTGCCAGGGGTCTATTGGTAATCCCCCTTATGTATGCTGGGAGGCCGTTGAACAGTCTCGGGCCCCTGACACTTATTGTATTGTCTCTTAACGTGCTAGTGACACCCCTGCTTTTCACTGGGGGGATGTTGCATCGTCTGCCAAGTCTTTTGCTTTCGTTGTGAGTGATTTTCGTGTGCAAGTTCGGTACTAGTCCCTCTAGGATTTTCCAGGTGTATATAATCATGTATCTCTCCCGCCTGCGTTCCAGGGAGTACAGGCTCAGGAACTTCAAGCGCTCCCAGTAATTGAGGTGTTTTATCTCCGTTATGCGTGCCATGAAGGTTCTCTGTACATTTTCTAGGTCAGCAATTTCACCTGCCTTGAAAGGTGCTGTTAGTGTGCAGCAATATTCCATCCTAGATAGAAGAAGCGACCTGAAGAGTGTCATCATGGGCTTGGCATCCCTAGTTTTGAAGGTTCTCATTATCCATCCTGTCATTTTTCTAGCAGATGCGATTGATGCAATGTTATGGTCCTTGAAGGTGAGATCCTCCGACATGATCACTCCCAGGTCTTTGACGTGGGTGTTTCGGTCTATTTTGTGGCCGGAATTTGTTTTGTACTCTGATGAAGATTTAATTTCCTCGTATTTACCATATCTGAGTAATTGAAATTTCTCATCGTTGAACTTCATATTGTTTTCTGCAGCCCACTGAAAGATTTGGTTGATGTCCGCCTGGAGCTTTGCAGTGTCTGCAATGGAAGACACTGTCATGCAGATTCGGGTGTCATCTGCAAAGGAAGACACGGTGCTGTGGCTGACATCCTTGTCTGTGTCGGATATGAGGATGAGGAACAAGATGGGAGCGAGTACTGTGCCTTGTAGAACAGAGCTTTAAAACCCGTAGCTCTCCGCTGGGGGGAGGGGAGGGCGTGTGTAGTAAACAGTGACCCTCTCCATAACGCCTCGCCCCTGCCCGTCTCCCCCGCCTCACCCACCCAACTCCCAGCGCCACCCCATCTCTAGAGGGTACTTCTCCCCTAACCCACGATGTCAGCGATGGCACTGCAGGGAGTGCCGGGCTCACAGGAACTCCATACAGGGACAGCATCGTGGTTTTTCGACCGCGAGGCAGCTGTCAGGTGTGCCACAGGCAGTGTGTACTCAGTTCCTCAAGCTTCAACATCCGTGCAAAACGGGCCTGGGATCTTCAGTCAACTTGGCGTCCACCAGGACGTTGCCATGTCCCTAGGACAGCTCTCCATCGGGCTGCTAACGGAGCCACTGGCTTTTTGGGACCTCTTGGGAGGGTCGATGGTGCTCGTGCAAGCAGCAGACCCCGGGGCAACTTGCTTGCTGTTTGCAATGGCTGTCTGCTGAGGAGAGACAGGCACCTAGAAAACATCTGTTGTTGGGGCAATGGATGAATTCCCTGCTATGTTTGTCAACTGCTCATTACTCTGTAATTTGTCTATGATTGTAATCATGTGATAACGATGTTTATAATTCATTACCTTTTAAACTTGTCATAAATTTTTACCAGCTCTACCTGGAGCTCATAAACCTTTGTAAATTCTCATGATTAATGTGTTTATGATTCATTACCTTTGCAATTATTCATGAGTGTGACCAGCTCTACCTGGAGCTCATTACCTTTGTAACTTGGTCATGATTATGACCAGATCTAGTTCATTACCTTTGTAACTTGCTCAGCTATCAAAACTTTGGAGTCCAGTCCCTGGACCAATTATGTACCTCTGTAATCTTTTGACTACCGCCCACAGGATGGGTATGGGGTGCATAATAAACATATTAAACTAAAACACCGTAGCTGCCTCGGACTTTACTCTGTTGACGACTACTCTCTGTGTTCTGTTAGTGAGGAAATTATAGATCCATCGACCGACTTTTCCTGTTTATTTCCTTTAGCAACGCATTTTGTGAGCTATTACGCCATGATCACACTTGTCGAAGGCTTTTGCAAAGTCTGTATATATTACATCTGCATTCTTTTTGTCTTCTAGTGCATTTAGGACCTTGTCGTAGTGATCCAATAGTTGAGACAGACAGGAGCAACCTGTTCTAAACCCATGTTGCCCTGGTTGTGTAACTGATGGGTTTTCAGATGGGTGTGATCTTGCTTCTTAGGGGCCCTTTCAAAGATTTTTATATATGGGATGTTTTGTGCATTGGTCTGTAGTTCTTTGCTGTTGCTTTACTGTCCCTTTGTGGAGTGGGGGTATGTCTGTTGTTTTAGTAACTGTGGGACGACCCCCGTGTCCATGCTCCCTCTCCATAGGATGGAAAAGGCTCGTGATAGGGGCTTCTTGCAGTTCTTGATGAACACGGAGTTCCATGAGTCTGGCCCTGGGGCAGAGTGCATGGGCATGTCATTTATCGCCTGTTCGAAGTCATTTGGCATCAGGATAACATCGGATAGGCTTGTGTTAATCAAATTTTGTGGCTTTCTCATAAAAAGATTCATTTTGATCTTCGACTCTCAGTCTGGTTAGCGGCTTGCTAAAAACTGAGTCATATTGGGACTTGAGTAGCTCACTCATTTCCTTGCTGTCATCTGTGTAGGACCCATCTTGTTTAAGTATGACTTTCCTAAAGTGGTTCACAACATTGTCAGTGTACAGGTTGCCAACACGGCTTGCAGTAGCTGTGTCAGGGTGATTTTTATCAAAAAAGGTTTGCACTTCAAGCCACTCTGCACACATTTCCTTAATCTTAGAAGTAGGCAACTTCTTCAATTTCTCTATCCCCTCCTCCAAAGCAGTTTCCTCAGGTCTGCCCTCTTGCTGTTCAAGATGATCTAGCAGCTCATCAGTGGTTAGTTCTTCATTGTCCTCCTCCACCAGCTCTTCCACATCCTCCCCACTAACCTCCAGCCCCAAGGACTTCCCCAATGCCACAATGGATTCCTCATCTGGCATAGGATTCTCAGGGTTAGCCTCAAACCCTTCACAATCCCGTTTGTCTACACATTCTGGCCACAGTTTTTTCCAAGCAGAGTTCAAGGTCCTCTTAGTCACTTCCTCAAAAGCCTTACCTATAATGTTTACACAATTGAGGATGGTAAAATGATCTTTCCAAAACTCTCTTAGAGTAAGTTGAGTTTCTGAGGTCACTACAAAGCACCTTTCAAACATAGCTTTTGTGTACAGTTTCTTGAAGTTGGAAATGACCTGCTGGTTCATTGGCTGCAGGAG